CTGCGAATTCTGCGGGTAGACAATCTTTCAAATGCTGTTGATATGTTTCTTCATCAGCGAAGACAGGATGTACAGCAGGATCCTTGACTTGAACCAAGAGATGAACATCGTATTGGCCACCTGAACCAATGGAAATCTCGGATATCAATGCTCTCAACGCCATAATGTCCTCTTCTCGCCACTGATATTCGTCCCAGAGTCGAATGACAAACGCAGTTCGCGGAAGGAATTTTTTGGGTGGCGTTGCAACTACTTTCGAGGTGGTATCAACTGTACTGGAAGTAGTATTAAGGACGGGATTGACTGATTCGTCCCTGGCGAGTAAATGGCTATCTTGCTGCTCAGTAACGGTTGAAAAGGTAGTGGGCTTTTTAATGACTGGTTCAATTGGTTGAAAGCGTGCCGCATTTCTTTGATGGCATCTCCTCTGAGCATCAGCCCAATCAACTTTTCGGTAGTCAACCTGACCAGAATGCATCTTCTCAGCGTTTGAGTTGTCTGCCCAGACGGCATCAGAGCCCTCCATCTCTCCATGTTGACCTGTTCCAGTACCCCCATATCGCAAGCCATATCCATAACCATAAGGTCCTAATCTGCCATATCGTTCGAAACAAATATCTTCTGGTAAACCAAGAACTTCATAAGAGCCCATAATATGATCTGGGAATCCGCTTGGTCTGCCTTCGTAATATTGTAGTCTTGGCGCACGCACAGTATTCTCGCGATTGAGAAAACACTCCTGGACAGGTGCATAATCGTCATTGAAAACACCGGATGTAATATTGGTATATGGCTGAAACGGTTTACTGGCTGGAAGGCTGCGCACGGGTGTGACCATTTTCTCAGTCGAGGTCTGATTTTGCAGAGGTAATTCATCCTCTTCGCGAGGATACTCTGGTTTGTTTTCAGAAAGCGGTACCAACGTTCTTATTCCACCGTAATATCGCGATAAAAATGGAAACGACTCCCAGAGTGGAGGCGGTGGCACTAATACATGGCCATCTTGAACCTTTTGGGTTGACAGATGGCTCATGCGAATTAAACTCAACATAAATATAACTATTGTAGATATCATGGCTAAACATAGATACCTCATGACTTTGGGAGGTAATCTTCGCGGGCTTGGTCGTTGGGTAGCCGTGTTAGCTCTTTTTCGTAATATCGGAGCATTGGAGTGGTATGAATTCGATGTCTCTCTCGAGGAGGAAGGTGATGATGGATAGGAGGAATAGTCCGAATCTTCGTCGTCGGATTCTTCATGGTGCCCATACTTCTCACTATCATACTCTTGAGGCGGCTCCTCCTGGGCAGATATACCTGAATATTGTGTGTGCCGTTTAGTAGCCTTGAGAGGGTTTAGGGAATTAAAATCCACCATGTTGGCTCGGGCCAATGTGGCCAATATGTACAATTGAAGGATGAATCAATAGAACGTGTCTAATCCGTTGTCGCGAAATCAAAGATGGCGTCTATAGGGTGGCTATCGAGCAGTATAATTGATCAGTGGCATTCTAAGCTGGGAAGCTTGGGAAAAGACATTCACTCACGCATTGAAGATTGATTAGCTCATGCGACGATTGCGACTGTGATGGTGATTATGATAGGATGAGATGTAATTTCAGGAATTGGAGAAGATAGAATAGATGATAGGTAGGTAGGTGTGTGGTTTAGTCGACTTTGAGGGGTGAGTTGAAGTTGTATTATGTATAGTGTATTGTGTTGATTGTTCTTGTGTATGAGATTGTGAGCTTCGAATAAGTACAATGCAGCATAAGTTCGAGGTCCCACCCATACAGACGGCAGTACAACCTATGATTATCCGAAGATAGCCAAAACTACTTTTGGTAACAAAACTTTCCAAAGTTCGTTGCACGCGGCAACCCCGATTATCCTGACTAGTACATGAAGGTCTAAGCCAAACTGGGAAAGTGTGAAAAATGATTGGACCATACTCATTCAGTGCTTATTAATTTCAAAGTTCATGCCTCAGTCTTGCATTGACCTCATGCCTTAGGAGCTTAGGTAATGGGTGCCGTTGATATTCATGCTCACAGAGTACTGTACTGGCACATCTTCAGACAACTCCCTGCTCCAAATATAATATTTGAACCTACACATTGCTTAAGTATATTGAATCAGTGTGAATTTCTTGAGTGTCTCAGTGTCTACCCATGCCTTGGAATAGATACACTTTGGAATCTATCTGAATTCGATTTCCCTCCCTTCTTATGAATGTTATCGCTTACACTGCCTAGGTATTACACCTTTAGGCTTTCAATTGAGCCTAAGTTTACACAGCATCTAGCTATCAAAACAGAGAGTCTTTCTGTAAAAACCCAGGAGAGCTCTACTCGAGTAATACAAGACCAGTTTCTGGATAATTAAAGGTGGCGAAGATCATGATGTTTTGTGTAATGACAATGATTCCTTTTTTTGTTCAGCAGTGAGTGAAACATTCGGCCTCACCAGTTGATGATGTTTATTAGTTATGTGTAGTGAATATTGGGGTTGATCGATCAAACTTTTGACCTTCATCGTAGATGATGCTGTTCGCCCCAAAGGTCTGGAACTCTTCAGTCTTGACGGGTTATCATTGGACAATGCTAGTTGTTAGTGTAGGTAGGCTCGTAAGTAGTATTGGAAGCCGACACATTCGCTGCTTTTGCGGGTACAAACAAGCATGGCGCCCGATGGTGACGGATTAGTCTCGGGAGCTTTCTTCCTTTTGCCGAGCCTGTCTCGGCCCTATTTCTCTACTCCAAAAAGCTGCGAAAAGGCAATCGCATGGACAAGTAAGTATGCCGACAGGCTCGTACGATCAACTACCATTTTTGAACGTGGAGCGAACAATCCCTCTGACGTGTTCGCTTGTGAGAAGAATATACCTATGTTTCTGTATTTCGGATACCCAAGGAGTTGAATGTTGTGCAACGGACAATTTCATGTAGCCCATAAATTGCGCTGTGATGTCTTGAGAAATACCGTAGCCAACATATATGCTTGCAGCTTTTGGTGGTATTATTGAAACTGAAGCAGAGAGATTACATGAAGAGCCCTTTCCCCCTCAAATATCGCTTTCCTGCATAAGCCGATGCTGCATTGAAAGGGGGAAATGCATGTGAGGTCCTCCTCGCTACCCCTATTGATCCAACCCAACCTCAACACCAGTAATATCTCATCGATTATCTTGGCGTATAAAGATTCTTTGTTCATGGGCTAAGACCCTATTTCTTCCCACATACAACTGAATTACCACCTAGCCATCGCATCGGTCCCAAGTTCCCGATTATATCAACGCATTTTACTATACCGACGTCTTTCCACGGGATATAATATGAAGTGGATATACTTCTTGTATCCAGGATCTGACCCCTAATTAATTTCAATAAACAGTGCTACCGGGAAGTTGATGCCGTTACTTCACACTGGCCATACAAACACCAAACCTTCATTGTTCCTGACGAGCCAACACCGACTCATGCAAGCCGTGCATAAGCGAGTTTATATCTTGGGGATTTGCTCAGCTGATCAACCCAAACGGAGCTACGGAAGTTGTTTACAGTATATCCCAAGATACTAAGAGCCACAAATATCCGGGGTACATCTGATTCATGGAACGCCAATTCAAGAAGACTCAGAATCCAAAAGCCCTGGTGGCCGAAGAGAAGGGTGAAACAAACGACATAGTTCTAACATTCCACGATTCAGCGATTTCTTCAAGAGAAGCCCTTAAGGTAAGCTGTGGCGAGTGTTTCTCAATGCGCACAAGCAGAAGCAACCATTCAGAGAGTGCATAAAGTAAGGAAAGGCTCCATTCCACGTCAACTGATATGATGATCTTGGTGTTCCAATAGAATCAAGTCCGTGTCACAAGCTCCACCGCTCGTGACAAGCATGACGGTCAATACCAATATTCTTTTGATGCGGAAACAGCACTTTTCTCTGGCTTCACCTGAATTGGTATTTGTGGGGGTTCCATCTATCGATTGCATCGATAACAAATAGTTGTACGTTGAGTGATCTCATCTTGATTATGACTTCGTGGCAAATCCATAGAAGTGCTAGGTACCTAGGCAAGTATCAATAATTTACACCGTACAATCGATCAAGAGATATCAGTTGACAGGTGACCGATGCATCCAAGCCAATCTGTTTGAGGGGTTCCTCTAGACAATGTGGGCCCAAAGTCAATTCTCAACGTCAGCTCTTCTTGGAAGCCACTACCTTACATATTCCGCTGCACCTGCACCTTTCAATAATTATGTACCTACCCTTTTCAAATTTTAAATCAAACTCTCCTTAGTGGGAAGCCATTATTCATGCTCTCAATGGCAAAACTTTAATAAACTCCTCCTTATTCTTTCACACAATTCATCTGTTGTTCTTCTCTACACCCCAATCAAGTTGATTTATTGCTATTATTAACTCCATAATAACGCTCTAGGATTTAAAATCCACGATACATTCACCAGGTCTGGGCTGCGTCTAGGAGACCAATGCAATGTTAATGCGAGTTTGACGCAGATTGGCTGGCTATTTAAAAGACCTCACATTTAACAAACAGAGCACTCTGAACTATAAATCCAAACCATATCATCACTCTAAGATCATCAAGTAGAGCTCATTTCATCTTCAACAGTCCTTCAGCAACTCAAGCAACCACATTCTCTTCATCAGTAGGCAGAGTCTGTTGAACCCTACCACATTTCTCTTCCTATCTTTGAGAAGAACATTTCTGAACTCCTTTTCTTTGAATCTCTCATCGATATTCAATAAGGACTTGTACTTTGTTGAGTTTTCCTTATCTGTGGTATGCACAAAAAACTGCCTCCATCCTCACTCTCAATCCGGAATTCCTCAGATACTTCCTCGCAATTCCTCTCACTTCAATAACATCATTTTCACTTCTGCTGCTCCGCACGTGATTATTAGATCAAATCTTCTCGAATTGCAGCTACTGCCATTGAACTACTATCACATTAAAACTTAGAACTCGTTCCATGGTCAGTCCTTCCCTCGTGATTACCATGTGTCTACTAACCGTCGTCAGACCATGAGTGTCTCCGCAACAACCACTGCTGTGGCGATCCAAGAACGTCACCCTACAAACGACATCACCCTAGAAGTACCAATGGGTCTTAAGCAACAAGACATCATCCAAATCACTCTTACCGGACCAGGTCTCGTCCTCACCATCCTAGGTATCATCATCTGCATCAACCTTTTCCAGCCATCCCTAACCTGTACTATTATCGCCTTGGCACCAATACCATGGATCGTGTATAACGACTATCATAATTTCATATCTTTAGGTCCAGGAGGAACTCCCTCCACTCTACTTGGATATGTCAAAATCACTTATCTTCGCATCTTTGCTCTTTCCGATCCGTACAGCCCACCAAGAATCCCCGAAGGTATAGAACCTGGTTACATACAAGCTGCCCGCAAAACCCTTCCTTTTCGCAGTGGTCCACGTCCCAAAGTTGCCGGTATTGCTCCCCAGAGACAAATAAGCCAGTATGGTTCTCGAGCAATGTATGAACTTCTCTGCACTAGCCTCAGTAATTACGCACATCGACACTCGGACAAGCTCAAGACGGGGGTATCTTGTTTCGAGAAGAAAGGGCTTGCGCTCTTCTCTCTCGAGCCTATCAACACTACCTGCAATGGAGAAATCTGCCATGTGCACCACAGCGACAATAGTTACCATATGAACCTTCATCCGGAGGATGCAAAGATTGTTCTGGAAAATGGTTGGGGTGAAAGACATCCAATGGCTGGCGCTTCTGCACCGCAAGCTGTTGCCTATTTCTTATCCTACCTTCCAATATCTCTGTCTGCGTGGCTTTCGCCAAGAGTTGTGCCTGAAGAATTCGTTCTGATTTATGCACCGAGGAATAAAGATGAGCTTCAAGTTGTATGTCATATCATCGAGGCAGCTGCATTCTGGGTCAGTGGCGAGCAATTGTCACTTTCTATCGAGAGCGTTCCATTGACCGAAGAATCTGCTACTGTTTAACGCACATCGCTTGTGAATTGGTTGGAGGTTGAGAACTACGATCATGGATGGAGCAACCGGATGAAGAAACGGGGTAGGGGATAGATAAAATTGAAACGGCAATGTGGTAAGAAGTAAAATGATGGTTGAAATGGATACACGAAAGGGGATTGGTAAATTGATGCAGGAGTATTGGGTCAAAGTTGGTTTTGCATACATGAAGATATACCCTTGATTGCATTCCATCGCGTTGATATTTAGCTTATTCTTATTGCTACCAATGCATAGTGTTAGCTGTTAGCTCATTTAAAAAAGAGGCACTTATGAACGTTGCGTGATAATCTTGATTTCAAATTGGTATTTTAAATTCTGGTATTTACCTAATGGTAGTATGTGGTAGGAAAAAAAAAACAATAAAGAAACTAACCCCGGTCCCATGCTAGGAGAGTGAGTGTAAATAATCATTCAAATTGGCTCAACCCATGCTCCCAGAAACATCCACAAAAATCCATGATTCAAATTGACAAAAGAAAAGAAGGCATGTATGCTATCAGTGGACGAGTAAACATCCAAAGTTATGGCCTCCTTGCATCACACTCTTCAAGGAACTTATATATTCCTTCCAGGCCCTCATATTCATCTGATTCAGATGGATGTTCGCTGACCTTTGTAAAATATGCAGAGCCACTTTCGCTGATATCTTCTTCCATTGTTTCGTAACCTTCGACCCAAGGATTTTCCGAAAATTCTTCAAGAATATGATCGTATTCATCTTGGTCAGGAGAGGACAAGGTAGTTTGTAGACAAGGAGATAATAGATGTGAGTGTGGTTCTGATTCGGCAGTAGGAGCGAAAGGGAATAGAAGAGCCATTTGCGTTCCTACAGCGGCGTCAAATCCGGCATCTTGATGTACAATTCCTCGCTGCACGCCGACTTCATCACAAAGACGCTCTACAGATTCGGCATCGCAGCCCGGGAATCGGACACGAAGGATGTGATTGTTCTCGAGGGTTATTGGGAGGTCACCAAGAGAAGATAGTCTCTTGAGATCGTTCATTGTTACTGCGAGGTCTTTGAGAGCGCGTGAGAAGTCGACAGACAGGATATCGAGAAAACCGGAAGTGTTGAGAGATGGGGCGGCTTGAGACATCTTTTGGGCACCGAATGGGAGTGCTCCAGCGAGAGGGGAGAGAGCGGTAACGGTTGGATTGACAGCGAAGTCGACGTAAGAGCCTGGAGTGAATTTGGAGACAGATTGGATCTTGCGAGTGGTTTCCTCTTGGAGAGAAGAAACAGCTTTGTAGCGCTTCTCGCCCATAGGAGTCATACCATCGAATTGGGCCTTTTGGCCAGAAAGGAAGAATGCTCGGACAGCTTGTGAAACATTGTTGACCACTTGTGCCGGAGCAGCAGGTGTATGAGAGAAGTATCGAGCACCTGCTCTTCCACCTCCTAAGCTGTAGCCTCCTGCTGTTCTAGGGAGTGCTCCACCACTCAAGTTTGGTCGGAGAGTTGAGGCAAATGGAGCTCTGCTTGTGAGACGAGACACAGCGGTTGCGGTGTTTGATTTTGGGAACGAAGCACGATCGTGCTTAATAGCTTGTCCACTGGTGCTCATAAAACGACGGACAGCAGCATTGACAGCACTTTGGGTAGTATACCATCGTCCCTTATTTTGACGGAGAAGGGCCGCCGGATGGATAGGATGGCGAGGTGTACTTCTCACAAAAATTGGTTGAAGTTCTGCGGTGACAGGCTTGCTCGTAACATCTTTGATGCGTAATTTAATGAGTTTCGTAGTTCGTTGAACTACGTTCCTATGAAATACGTTAGAATACTGTCTTGAATGGTTGCAATGAGGACATTGGAGTTCCTCATATAGTTTAATAGATTACAGAAACAACTTACTTTAGCATTCTCACGGCTACAGGCGCCCAGATGCCTCCAGACGACGCCATGATGAATACTGATTTATGAAGTTATCAAGATCCTTTGATTGTTGTAATAAATGGTTTCGTACCTGGACGTCAGGACGGATCTTATCTGGGGATGTTATCGCCACTGCTCAGCCACATCACATGCCTGGACGTGGCTTAGAGACTAATGCTTTTCTAGCTTTAGCGTCATATCTGCGCTAGTGGTTAGCGCGAAAATAATTTTTGACCTTGAGCTTTAAAAGTTTTCCTCCTCTACAGTTTTGTCTCTACAACCAACCAACATCTTCAACAACAACAATAATAAATATCGTACCTTTTCTTTGTGTGATGAGGTTTTCTATTTTCATTATGATTTAGTTTTCTTTTACTTGGTAAGGATTTACTCCTCCCTCCTTGCTTCAATTGCCTCAATGATGAACACAAACACATATTGAACAATCCAACTCTTACACCGCAATGGAGATTTGTATTTTAATCTGAGCAATCTTGATTTACATCATGAATTTGAAACTCATATAGTTGAGCACGCAGCTAACAGTTCGTCTCAGACATCTTCATTTGCTACTATATTCTGCAAGCTGCCACAAACTTTCAATTCAAAAGGTTCGTACATTCCACATTCATTCCTTATTCTTAGCGCACCGTTGGGGGTGATGATGAAAACTCATTGGAAAGGCATTCCTCAATCCGAATTATACTGTCGAATCTTTGCATTTAAGTTTCAGCCTTGTCTGACCCATCGTTCATTTATTGCATATCATTGAAACATATCTTCTGTGCCAAAGCTAACCATACATGGCAATAGGTACATACACTTCCTCATCATCAATTTCCTCGCATTACATGACGAACTTTGAACGAACGGGCGGACAGACTGCGCACTCCTGCTCCTATCTCCTATCAAAGCGAGGCGTACAAACCTTGTGGGAGGTGGACAGTTAGGAAGTGCTTGTTGAGAACTCGTCAGCTGATCTAATGCTCAATTGCTCTTGGATCATTTCGATACGCCGCTTGATCAAGAACATCGATGCTAACCTATCTTTCTTTAGGTAATAACTACAATCTTTTCTTCTACAGTCACACAGGACCATTGCATTGAAATGATGAAACTTATTCACACTGTTTGAAGTGGACTATGTCCGCTACTGAACGCACTACAAAAATCTGATTTAATGAGGTATGTTTTGTTCTTGCATAGGATTAAGAAACAGTGCTAACAGTTCTCCAGCCTGACATTTGCTTATGGTTCCTTGCATTTTTGATACCATCAAAAACTTGTTCAAGTACATTCGACAATTGCTGACAATTTCGTCTCGTACACAGACACACTTCACAATTACGATGGCAGGTGTTTCCCCACAAAATGTAAGCTACTTCTTCACCTCCCCTCTTCACATCCTTTGCTCTGATGAACCCAAATATTCGCTGTGTTCTTTCCGAGTCAACCTTTGACGAAACACATATTTCACCTTGGAGAACTGAGATAGTACTCTTTTCACTCATTTCCAACCGTATATCAAAAAAAGCTTGAGATTTGAAGCTAACCTGCATAGACATAATGATAATTTGAGCTGGAACTTCATCTGGAGTAAGCGGAAGAGACGTTACTAGATACCCAAAATATAAATTTCCTGTTCTATTATTCATTGGCCTTTCCTGCTATGTGACTGTTCGTAACCATTTCGTGCATCGTGAATGACTATAATCTGCGCGACCGATCGGTCGTGACACCACACAATGTTGGCTTCGCTCAGCAATCAGAAAGACAACAAAAAAAGCTTTCTTCAACGGGCGTCATCGCCAGATGTATCGTCGAACGCAAAACCTGCATAGCAGACATGATTCATGCGGAGGGTCCTGGGCTGAATGGCCCGTCTACTATTACAATGAGGACATGTGTTTCTTCAATGGAAAGTAAGAATAAGAAAGGTCACTGGCGGTAGAAGTGATGTGAGAGCGGAAATAGAGTAGTAGTCAGCCAGATTAATACCGAAGCCGTCAGTAACAAACCCGACAAACTCAACCTACACCTTCAAACCTCCATCGCTCAATTCCCGCCAATACTCCTCTCTCGGAGCAAATACCAAATTCGGACCATCATGATCCGCAACCGCAAGATCTAATAATTGATACTCATCTACCCTATCTCTCCCATTCATATTCCCAGGCTGTCCTTCACCGAGCTTGCCAGCTTCGCCTGATGCTTTTTCAAAATCAAAATACCATAGAGTTTTCGCGATTGCGAGACTGGTCTCATGGTAAGCCATTGCTTTGCCGAGACAGCCGGTGTCTCCTAGGGCAAATGGGGCAAATGCTGCGCGCATGGAGGCGAGGTTTTGCTCTTCTTTTGGGGTGCTGTTGAGAAGATGGGAAGTTAATTGTTGTCTATAGAAAAGGGGTTAGAGGGGAAATGGGGTAGAATGAGGAGGGTGGAAGTAATGAAGACGCAAAAGAGAAAGAAAAATTATGGGACTGAAGTAGGGGTTCACATCAAAGAATCGAATAAACCTACCTAAAACTTCCTTCCTCAGATGTCAACCACCTCTCCGGTCGAAAGGCAAATGGCTCTGGAAAATACTCCTCATTATGCATCACACAATACGGATTGACTCCAACCATTGTACCACGCGGTATCACATGTCCATCGACCACAAAAGGTTCTGTATGACCCGAATAAGGTTCACGCCAAAATGTGGCTAGAAATGGTGGTGACATTCGCAATGTTTCGTCAATACAGGCCCGAAGGTATTTGCATGAGGAGAGTTGGGCTCCGCTTTTTATGTCAAGGCCGGAGGAGAAGGTGTCGCGGATTTCGGTGGCGAGAAGAGTATAGACGGTGGGGTGGCGGGAGAGATAGAAGAAAAGGGAGCTGAGAGCTGCGGAGAGGGTTGTGCCGCCTGGGAGGATATATTTCGTGTTAATGATGCCCATCACGGATAGACATGGGTCTGAAAAGACGCTCCTATTGAGCATAGGAAGGGCTGTCGAAAAAGCCAACTTTGAGGGAACCCAATAGGTTCAGGAGAAAAGACTCAGGAAATCGACATAACTCACCCGCGGGAATAAAAAATACAGCTTCAGCCCATAATTCGCTATGCCCAAGACTCTCTATACCTTCACCAACTTCCCCTCCTGCAATAGAATAGAAATCATGCTTTGCGTCCTGCGGAAGAGCTACGCGTTTCTGTATTATACTCTGTATTGACTTGGAAAATGCCATACCGTTCTTCTGATTAAGTCGTCTGAGAAGTGGCCAAGTTTTGGACATTATTGGCCAGGCCACTCTGTGGTAGATGGTTAGTTGGCTTCTTGAAGCCGAAAATGACAGTCGTGGAGGAGAATGACTAGTATGTCATGACTAGCTCTGAGTTTTGAAACAGATTTCCAGACGAAGAAAGTACGATCCACTCACTGAAAATACTAACAAGCCCATTCATAGAAATCATTGCCCTCGGAAACGCCCTATTCCTCTCCTCCGTTTGCGTATCAAGCGGCTGTCCAAAAGCCAACTGCCCAGCCACATCTGTCGTAAGTCGTTCACATAATGGTGACACATTAACAACTTCATTCTTGGTCTCCAACAATAGCTTCAAGAACACATCAATCTCGCTACTCATGGTGGGTTCAAAAGAACGCAAAGAACGTTCGGAAAGAACTTTCCCATATATCTTACGTTTTTGGCGATGCCTTTCTCGTTCCAGTGTCCCGAAAATGTTGATTTGGGGGTTGAATTGGGTGTGTGCATAGATTCGGGCTTTGTTTATGGAGGGGTGGAGGTAAATCGCTGGGTGGGTCAATACTCAACGTTTTGAGTGGAGAGGGAGAAAGGGGGATGAATTACCTCGTAGAGCGCTGGAGGTGTTGAATACTAGACGATTGGGAGCTTGTCTATATACGGGGCCTTTTTGATGGTAGTTAGTGCTGATTATCTTCAAAACAAGAGCCTGTTCTGGATGAAGCACTACTGAATAGACATACCATATTTCAAGTGGTCGAAATATATAGCGAGGTGGAGACGCCTTTTAACGGCATGATAGCCACCATAGCCATCTGTGAATTTGGCAATGAACGGGCCGGGATAGTCTTTCAACGGGTGGAGTACAAGTTGGTAGCTAAGAGCAAAAAGGATCTAGTAAAGTCAAGCGATAGATTTTAGTTGGAATCATCGTGGATGGGATACTAAGAGGTTTCCTTACCAATGACACTATGATACCGAGAGCATAAACTGCCACTTCGGACAATCTGCCCAATGTGTCCATGGTAGAGAATAGAGAGAATCTGAAAGGATTGTCACATTCAGAATTCGCGTTTGTTTGAAGGTTTGAAGTGAGTTTGAAGATTCTTGAAAAATTTCAGTACTTCAACTTTTGTTCACACTCCTCATAAAGTTAAAATGAAGAAACCAAAGTGCGGTTCATTCAGATTGATGAAAAGGCGTCGATTGATCGAAGGATGCGCAGCCTTGTCTGTACCCGGAAGCTTAGGAAGAGACCCTTGGTGAATTGACCCGTGGAAGGCGGGGGAGGCGTAAACAGTTGGGGGTTCGGCTCTTGTAGGTACGGCACGGTAGTTGAGGTCAATGCTAATATATACCCGATTTCATAACGTGTATCCAAAATATAACTTTTTTTGATCTAATTAATTTTTTGCTAAATCTATACAAAAAATAATATAATTGTTTTCAATTTAATTAATATAATTCTAAATTGAATAAACTCTATATAGAAATATAGATCTCAATTGATAAAATCAATAAATAAAATATGAATAATATCAATTAAAAATTCATTAAATTAAAGATAATTGAATGAAAATCTAATTTTCGAAAGTTTAAAAATCTAAAAACTATTCCAAAAATCATAATTTTATTCAATTACCTTCAATTCAATGAATTCTTAATCAATTCTATTCAAATCTTATTTATAGATTCTATCAATTGAGATCTATATTATAATATAGAGTTTTTTGAATTTGGAGCTATATTGATTGAATTACATTTTCTAATTTTCCAATTTCGATTAGGTGATATTGAAAAAGGTGCTTTTTCTTTTGGACACACGTTATGAAATCGGGTGTACCTATTGGTAGTAATAAAATTGTCTGGAAAAGCCTTTCTATTGGTCGTGATGACACACATTGATGACTGCATACTACTACGAAACAATATACGATATACTGTTGATGAACATGCTGAATAAATAGGAAGGTTAGCAGATAACTTTACCCAAAAGATTAGACGAGAATGCCATACAGTTTATTTTTGCTTCTATTATCTACGTAGGTAATCCTTTCGTTTGTTGCATGCATGTGAGAAATGTGAGGTATATTCCAGGCTCAAATGAACCAAACTTTTAATCTCACCACAAGGCCGATTCTGGCCATCAAATCCTTGATCGATTCTACTGATTCCGTGAAATTTCAACTTCTTGTATTGTATAACATTACCGGCATGGTTTCTTGCCAAAATTCGACTTCCATTCGGGCGTGGGAGATTCATGCTTGCAAGAAGGAATGTAAGACGGGGAAAACGATATGACCGACGCCGCCGCTAATTTTTTTATATAATTCGTTTGAATATTGGCGTGTCTGAATAGATGGGAGGCAGTAAGGCAGTGTAGTATTATTGTTCCTTGGTTGAATGATAACCATAGTTTTCGACCTCCGATACGCTAAATCAACAGAGAACTGGATATCTAGCATTCATTCCTTAACACTCCTCGATATCTAGGTATTTAGATCTAATCAGTATTCGACGAGACTTTAAGTACTACTTGGATCTGGTTAATTCAGTGTTAACCTCTACTTGAGCTTTTTAGACTAATTTCATCGCCTAGTCTTGGATTCCTCCCCGCCTCTACGTAAGCGAAAAAACAGGCGAAAATTGAGTATTCTTTCAAAGGTCTTTTTTAATAAATTATAAATTCATTTCAAATTAAATATTGAAATTTGAAAAAAGCAAACGAAAATTTGAGTCTTCTTTGTATTGAGATTAAGTATTTTTATTATTTAACATTATATCGAAAAGAGATCTTAGTTGTTGAAGGTCTTTCGAATAGTGGTCAATTCCCGCCTGTTTTTTTGCTTACGTAGAGCCCGCCTCCTTTTCCAAAGTGGGTTGTGGTCGTATAGTACACCCCAGTGACAATCAAAATTATTTTTGGGTTTTCCATTACACAACCTATAATGGCAGCAATGTGCATGCAGCCTTTTTCATCATTTAGGATAGGCATTTCTTCAGGTTGTTTACACATGTGGTAAAATGTTTTGATGCGTCATTAAGGAGGTGGGTGTTTGCATGGACAGATTGCAACATACAGCCATTACTTACTCTTGCAGAACAGGATTTGGGCGTCCTTCAACTGAGATGTAAATTCCAGAGTTGCACAAGATACCAAGATTTTACTGATTGAGACTAACAAACAAAATTCTAAGCATTCATTTTATGTTATTAGGAAAAATCTCCAGGTAGGTACGGAATTGATCCCTCTGTCTCCCAGTGATTTGTAGCAACCAACTCGATAAAGAAACTCCCTTCACAGTTGTAAATCATCCTTCCCAGTATTCCAAAAAAGTAGATCTTCTAATGAGCATTCCATTTCCTTCAGTTATGCCCTTACTTTACAATCGTTTCTGAGCTCCAGTTATCCTCGCACTCGTTGCCTTTTTTACACATTAATGAGAGGCATCCATCCACGGTGGTGAGTTTGGCGCCTTCATCTAATCCACACCAATCCAAAACAGCCTGAGATGATTTACAGACTTTGATACTGCCTTGATCAATAATTTGAGCTATGAGTGCGAGAAGAGCAAAACTAGAATATCGGACCTTTAATCTTAATTTAAATAAAATAAATAATTCGAATAGCAACCTTTCCATCTTTTCAGTCATTCACAGATCACCCAGAAAATCAAGATCAATATAGCACAAAACAACGTCAATACAGAAGCTGTGCTACCGGATATTTGAAGTTTGGATCTTCGATACATTCTACACTATGGGTTGGAGATTCGATTCAGCGAGTGTTCAGATGTTTATGAGGGTACGAGACAATGGCTCAAAGTTTTGAGCATGAAGAATGAATTACTACAGTAACCTTATATTCTTGAATGGTTGAGAGCATATTCTCGTCTCACGGTCAAAGTCGCAAGTGCACTTATGATCAGCTTTATTTTCTACAGTCCACATAGAATACCCCGTGTAATGCTTCAACACTATGAGTAGATGCAAGCACTGGAAGCTCCTTGATTCTGCCAAATGTTCAAGATCGAGATGATTTGAAGTTGTCAATTGTAAGGTGTCCTGGAGCGTCAATTCATTCCGTCCCTTCATTCCTTCAGGTTTCGTGTGATCGCACAACTTGAGGCGCATGCCCTTGTATAAGGCAGCTTACTGTATGAGTTATAGCCCCTGTGGTATGCAAATAAGCAATACGACTTCGTCGATGAGGCACAATGAACGTTTTTATACACCAGCATTTCCCAGTCGTATCATAATTCCAATTCCATCCCTCTCTGGAAGCTATTTCTCACCATGAAAAAGAGCAATCTCTCATCTACTTTCTCTTGGCCTTTCTGTCGCCTCAAACTCCTTTCTACAGTAATTGAAAATCGGAATCAACAAGCTGAGAGACCAAAGCAAGCGATTCGATCCGGAAGATGGAAAGCGTTGTGTGGAGCGGGCATACATATACTACCTATTATATTCACCATAGTTTTATTGTTCTTGAATGCTTCTACTGTCTATGCGACTTCGATAGGTGTGGGCACTGCAAGTGTAAACGCTCGACTCAATGGGCTACAATTCGCGGCCAAAATACACGAGATACTCATCGGAGCTTCCTTATCATCTATGGTTCTATCTCTTGTTCAATACAGAATCTTTCAGGCTGGAGTACCAATTGGTAGTCTCTTCATTACTTTCAGAATCACCGACCTTACATCACTCTTAAGTCCCGAATTCTGGGCTGCTTTGACTGCTGATAGATGCCTCGAAAGACGTACGTCCCTTGGTTTTCTATGTCTTTTGACCGTAATTTCAACTATACTAGCCGCTGTGAGTGGTCCTGCGTCTGCGATCTTGATGATACCATCTCTAGATTGGTGGAACTTCCCCTTTTCAAAAGATTCCTTTCTGCCTGGTACGGACTTCCGACCGTGGCTTCCGAACGAATCAAGCTTTCCAACAGGTGCATTCCGAGCAGAAATTATTTTTAACGAACTATGGCCAAATCACATTGATCGCTCATATTCCTATTCCTCGGTTTGTGGGTTTAGCAATAAACTATTTACCGAGCAATGTCCAGCTGGTGGCCATTCTGTTATTCAAACGTGGGCTCGCACACAGGAATCTTCTTTTCTTAATGATTCATGGAACATAACAATGCCGATAGCACTTTCGAACAGCGCCCATGATTCAGTGGGATTCTCCGTGAATACAATATACAGTAGTCGTTTTATTGAGGGGACAGGGCGCCATTATAATACTAGCGATCGTTATGGTCCTGAATACACATTGAGTTGGAACCAGAGAGCGTGGTACATGGGTCAGACGAGTTCTGTACTCGCTACTGGTGCTCTTTTAAATATTGCTGGGATACATACTACTTCTGAAAATGAAACTACCAGATTGCAAGCATTGGTCAATGATAGGAGTCCCCCAACCCCCCAAGCATTTGCTGCCTGTTCGGAATTTTACTATAATGTATCAAATGAGAAGGGCACCAACAAATCAAAGTACAAATCCTCCCTCGATAGGGGTGGTGATATTACGAAATGCTTCAAACCCTAATGGGAACATGTTGATAATTGAAACGTGCTCCATCTATGCTGGCTGGCGGTCTTCAGAGCTTTTTATCGATCCCAAGACAGACCAATACATTCATTCTCCAGATCTCACGAATCCTACCAAAGACATGGACGACTGGACTAGCGCAATCAACGAATCGAGAGAATACCCTATGCGAAATGTCCAGATAGACATTGATTGGGCAAATTTCGCTTTACCACCATACTACACAATACTATCCATTGCGCTATCATCTACCGAGTCTCAAGCAATACCATTGGGTTTAACAGTCAGCAGCCTCATACCGGACGCGATGTCAAGAATCCGTCGGCCCAGCGAGATTTCGATACCGTTGATCGCAGCTGAGGCATCGGAGCAAAAACTTGATCACGAGAGATATCCATACATCACCGTCAACCGATTTCGATATGGCTATAGCTATTCTCTTCGAGGAGTCACTAGATGGCTTGCTTTATCCATTCTCCTCTTACATATCTTTCTCGCATTGGCGCATACGGTGATTATCACACTCATGGGATGGACTAGTAAAATACTGAACTCTCGATGCGAAATTCTTGTTCTTGCCATCAACTCGTCGCCATCTATGGGACTGGACAATACATGTGTAGGTATCAACCGGCTCGATACATACAAGCAGATAGTAAAAGTTAGGGAAACCACATTCGAGCACTTAGGCTTGGTGATGAATGGAGAGGAGGATAAGCATACTGAGAAGATGGTGATAGACAAGGAGTATGGAAGTCGAGAACAAAAGGAAACTTTTCATTGTAAAGAAGATTGATCGCAACGATAGATGACACGAGGAATCCAATTCTTTTCTCGAAAAAAAAGTGATGTAATGTACATCATCAACTAGTAAAAGCCCACAAGGGGGATCAATAGAATCCGAATCAGAGAGTGTAGAATCACCCAGTATGGTTGGTCCATCCGCAAGTTCGGCAATACATGCACGACATGAATGATCACATCCCTCTCTCACAAACAGCGCCTACCTATGAATATCCATAATTCCACAACTCAACACGCGTTAACATCAGTGACGAAAATACATCAGAAATTGAGTCCCTACCATATCATATCACACCAACTCCTCACTCCCTAACCCCCAATAAAAAGCACGCAACAGATCAAAGAATAAAAGTACAAAAGTATAAAAGGACAAAAGAATAAAACAATCCATCCACATCCTCATCCTCATCCTCATCCACATGCAGGAACGAACGAACCTTCGCGAGAGCGAAATACCCACAGAATCTGCAGAGGGGTCGGCCCGATCAATCAATGATGCGATGCGATGCGAAGGATGAACTACATCGATGATATTGTATTACTGCTGTGGAACACTCACTGCATGCACGCATACATACATAGACACATCAAGTATGTATGAAGAATAAAGATGATAAGAGAATAGCGATGAAACAAACTTCATTGCGGGTTCACCATACGAGTATCTAATATCACATAGAAGAAGAAGGAACAAAAGTCATTGAAAAAGTGCTCCTCATTTATTCGGCCAGTGACTGAAATCTTGATAAAGAAGAAACGCGTAGTTTTAGAATCAAGGCCTTCCTTCAGCTGAGCCGCATAACACAATAAAGTTTTTCTGCCCTCCCCCTTCCGCTCTTGTCCTTACACGCTTTACATGCCCACTATTTCGATCAGTCCATCGATTTGAATTGTAACGCACACGTAACACATCCCCAATCCAGCCACATCTAACCATCAACTCTTCCCAGCTCAAATCAATATCTTATTATCCTACTCGTGATGCAATGAACCCATTGAATGTTGAGCGATATCAAAAAGTCAATTAGAGAGGAAGGAGAAGAGAAAGTCGTATGAAATAAAGGAAATACAATCTTGCAAAGTCCATCCCAGATTTACCATTTGTTCCTAAGATTACATGCATACATGGAGGTGACCAAGCAGTTGCTCGAGTACCTCATGTGTAGTAAACGATAGTTTTGAAAACTCTCCCCCCCCCAAACCCTTGCTAGCTGTTTTGTTTTTGCATACCACAACCTTCAAAATGTGTTGCCAACCTGTCGAAAAAAGAAAAAAGAAAAGGCTGCCGTCAAAAGACTCGCAAGAGATTGTAAGAACCCGTCCCTCCATTCTTTAATGCATTTGGTATTGATTGCAAAGTAACATCAATGCTTCTGAGACGCCGGAGAAAGTAGATTCGTTGAAAAGGAATTGTGTGAAGAAGCGCTGGATTATTTGGGGGCAGGTACAAGAGGTGCTGGAGTAGTCCATGTGCGTGTAGCAAGCTCACACAATCTTCGAATGACATTTGTAGTACCGGAACCACTTGCTTCATCCTGAACAAACTTCTTTGCCACAAGAAGCTTACTGCGGTTGTCACTTTCATCGAAATGGAGTGGAGTGTCGTTAGGCGTATAATCAGAAACACGTTGTTCCATGGCTCGAATAATGGCAATCGAGTACAAGACATCGCGATTCTCTCGGCCATCCAAGAGATTTCTTAGGGTGGCAAGAGTTTCATCAACGTCCTTGACACAATTGGGATCATCTTCTCGAAGACATACAAAGTTTGCCAAAGTGTACCAGAATTCCAGTTCCCTCAATCTGTGGTGATCTCCACTTCCTTGGACAGGAGCAGTGAGCTGGTTACTTTCAGCAACTTTACCCGTCAAGAGACATTCAAAGACTGTCAATCGATGATCCGCCTCAATTGGATCGTCCTGGGCAGGGAGCGCACTCTTAGCCTCAACTTTGGCCTCCTTTGCATCCTCTGCACCAAGCTTAACCATACAGGCCAAGGCCCAAACAACCTTTGCCTCAACACTGGCGGTGTGTGCGATGGCGATAGGATCAGACACAACGGTTTTTGAGAATTGGAGGAGTAATGTTCCAAACTTTTCGAGTAGTGGTTTGTCGGCCATGAGTTTGGCAGCACCTTTGGCACTGAACCATTTTGATTCGAGGAAACTCTCTAGACCAGGGGAATAGATACTGTAGTAGAGATGCCTGGCTTCTTCGAGTGATTGTGGATTCTGCGAAACATCATGCACCGTCTGGTCGGCAGGTGCAGGGGGTTGGGCATACAATAGCAAATCGTCGATAGATCGTTGAGCTGGAAGAAAAGTCGTGTCAGCTGCTTCGTCTGCAAAAGATGCAATTGGAGGGGGGGAGGGGGAACCAGCACCACCTCTGAGGTGGGTAGCATCGGATACTTGGAAGGGGTATGGAATTGCACTTGGCATAATTTTTTGGTGAAGTCGGAAGGTGGGCATACCTGGAGGAGCATTGTGGAACGAGCTAACAATCGGGATTGGAGCTGCTGCTTCCAAATTTGGATCGATTGCAGATGAATAGTCATAATGTTGACCAGCACTGGGTGCGGTCAGAGCAGGATCATATGCCATTGAAGCTGGAACACCGTAACCACTCTGTAGCATCTGTGGTTGGTTTCCGTAAGGATTTGCGGTCGCGATCGATGAAGATTGCGAAGGTGCAGAGCTAGGTGCTGGTTGTATGGCAGCAGGACCTGGTTGTTGTTTGAAGATGGGATCGTAGCCTAAACATTCACGTTTTGATTTTTGACAGTTTCGGCAGGCAGGATGTTGTTCGTCGCACTGATGAAAGAGGTTAGCAGAATTTTCAGATAGATAGTGAAGGCGATGATGATCGCGACAACGAGTGAATTTATTGATCTGCCAACGAAAACAAATTGGAAAATTGATAATCTCGCTCTACTCGTGGGTCTGGTCTGGGTATCAAGGTCGCTCGTCTCGCTCGCTCATGTGCCTTCGCCTACTTAGGTGATTCGCTTGCATATAGACGAAAAGATTCCCATCGCGAAGAAACTCAACCTCAAACTTCAATTCATTCTTTCGATAATGCGACGAAATTAAAACATTGAGAACTGACCTTAATTCTTCTCTTTCTGCACGTCAAACAACCCGTCTTGGTCCTACGCTTGATCTCCTGATGGAAAAATAATATGTTAGCACGATGCGATGCCTCAAATGACGCGATGACACGATAACAACGATGATTTACTAATCCTACATACCTTTTTGTGTCGACCTCCGCTCATGACTCGAGAATCTACTGGAAGCGCGTATCGCATATTTGGATCAGATGTAACATTTGGATATTGGTGTTGATGGGATGGATGAGGGAGTTGATTTTGGTAGTACGGGCCGCCCATTTGCGCAACTGGTGGAGGTAAAGGTGATCCCATGTGCTGATGTTGTGCGGCTTGCTGCTGTTGTTGCTGCTGCTGAAGAGGATCCAAGGAACGCATGCTCGGGAGAGAAAGGGAACCGTTGCTTCCGGTCGGACTCGCACGATATGGCTCGTTTTGGTTACCTGGTGGCGGATAATTATATTGTGATGTTGACAAAGAAGGCGACGGGTAGGAAGTTGGACTTGGGTAATTAACTGGTTGTCGTTGAGAACCTTGTTGAGAGCCAGACATTGATGGAGAGGAAGGCGCCGAACCGTTTTGTTGCAGATGATTTAAGTGCGGACTATTCCTATTATTGTGTTGCTGTGCCATATTAGGATTGATTATGACACGGTCGCGCTGCGTTGATTATTTTGATGTTCTTTTTTTTTGAAACCTTATCTAACCACCGCCTTGAAATGAACAGGAAATTTTAATTGAATAGAAATCACTCAAGTCCTTTGAATTAAATCGATCTAGAATTATTTGATTCGATGAATTCTCTCGGCTTGCTGTACTTAGGAGTTCGTAGCGAAACTCGTTTACGAGACGAAAGCGAGCTGTCGCGGTAAGTAGGTAGGTAGGTGGTAGGTAGGTAGGTATGGAAACGAGTTGAATGTTTCGAAGAGGTATGAAGTGTTGAGAGGTAAAGTACGAGCAAAGAGTTTAGAAAAAGGTGGTAAGGTTTTGTTGTGGAGAAGAGGAATCGGAAATGGATTCTGAAAGGGAGCCAGAGAGGCAGAATTAATTTGGATTGATTTGATTTGGTAGATTTGATTTGGACCTGGGAAAGGGAAGGCTGGTATGGTATGGAGTGGTGTGGTGTGGTATAGTATAGTATAGTATTGTGTTGTATTGGATTCGAATTGTATGGTGGGTTGAAAGATACAATGAAATTCCTTGGGAGGGGTTTGAGGAAAAGTTGAGTTGGAGAGAGTTGGAGGAAAAGGTTAAATGACAGGACAGGGTAGTCTCAAGGTAGAGAATATGTCATGTCATGTAGAAAGTAAGGTAAAAGGTATCGTAAAGTATTGTAAAGTAATAAAGTAATAAAGTAAAAAGGTAGATCGGTCGGAATAAAGTAAGAAGTTGTGCGCTGCAAGCTGGTTTTCTAAAGCTTTTTGGATTGAAGGGAACCTTGGCCTGGGAGTAAATTTAATCCATTAATCACTTTGTCTGCCCGAATTTCAAGGTATCCATCCAGTTCAATGTTCAATTATGAATTCACTCCGTCATTCGAGCTTCTCTCTCTCTCTCGACCTTTCATAGAAACTAGACAAACTAGCTTGCGTCTAGTATGTACCTAGCTGGAGGTATTTGATTGAACAGATACTACGAGTAACAGTGAATAATGCATTTCATTCCTTACCTAGGTAGTTCTTGTACCTATTAGTCGAAAATTGTTTGTTATCTGATGATCCATCAAGTGGGAGCTAGCAATCATCACAGAATTATTACCACTGCATCCCTAGGTAGGTGTTGGTACTAAAACCATCCATCCATCTTTCTCCTGAGACATGTTACTTGTCAGTTGACATAGTACCTAGCTATTAAAACTACCTACATAGGCAATAAGAACAACT